CAAAGAATGGGAATTCCAGAACATTTATTTGTGCTCATGTAGAACCTGTACATAGACCAAGAGGCAGTCATTCAAACAGAACAAGGGGATACTGAGTAGTTTAAAGTCAAGAAAGATGTGTGTCAGGGTTATGTTCTTTTACCATACGTATTCAATCTGTATGATGAGCAAATAATGCGAGAAGCTGGACTATATAAAGAAGAATGGGGCATCAGGATTGGAGGAAGACTCATTAACAACCTGCGATACGCAGATGACACAGCCTTGCTTGCCGAAAGTGAAGAGGACTTGAAGCACTTACTGATGAAGATCAAAGACCACAGCTTTCAGTATGGATTACACCTCAACATAAAGAAAACAAAAATCCTCACAACTGGACCAATATGCAACATCATGATAAATGGAGAAAAGCTGAAGTTGATTTTACTTGGATCTATAATCAATGCCCATGGAAGCAGCAGTCAAGAAATCAAATGACACATTGCACTGGACAAATCTTCTGCAAAAGACCTCTTTAAAGTGTTAAAAAGCAAAGATGTCACTTTAAGGAGTAAGGTGCACCTGACCCAAGCCATGGTGTTTTCAATTGCCTCATATACATGAGAAAGCTGAAAAATGAATCAGACAGACCGAAGAAGAATTGATGCCTTTGAATTATGGTGTTGGCAAAGAAAATTAAATATACCATGGACTGCCAGAAGAATGGAGACCCAGTAGTGCAGGGGTTAAGAGCTTGGCTGCCAATCAAAAGGTTGGCAGTTCGAATCCACCAGGCACTCTTTGGAAACCCTATGGGGCAGTTCTACTCTGTCCTATAGGGTCGCTATGAGTCAGAATTGACTCGATGGCAATGTGTTTGTTTTTTTCCCAGAAGAACGAACAAATCTGTCTTGGACTAAGTACAGCCAGAATGCTCCTTAGAAGCAAGGATGGCGAGACTTCACGTCACATACTCTGGACATGTTATCAGGAGGGACCAGTCCCTGGAGAAGGACATCAAGCTTGGTAGAGGGTCAGCGAAAAAGAGGAAGACCCTCAACGAGATGGACTGACACAGTGGCTGAAACAGTGGGTTCAAGCCTGACAACAACTGTAGAACGGCGCAGGACAGGGCAGTGTTTCGTTCTGTTGTACACAGGGTTGATGTGATTCGGAACCCACTCAACAGCACCTAATAACAGCATAAAGAATTAAATATGTAAATCCTATTTTCTATATACACATATATGGATTATGAAAAAGAACCCAAGTAACTATGAAAAAAAAAAAAAAACCCATTGCTGTGGTATCAATTCCGACTCATAACGACCCTATAGGACAGAGAACTGTCCCATAGGGTTTCCAAGGCTGTAATCTCTATGGAAGCAGACTATCAGATCTTCCCTCTTGTGGAGCAAGGAGTGGCTGGTGGGTTCGAACCGCCAACCTTTTTGGTTAGCAGACAGGTGCTCACCCCCTGTGCCACCAGGGCTCCTTCGAGAAACCACAGAGGGGTTGAGAAAACCACCCCCTGCCACATCAGGCGACCCTCTGGCCTGAGTTACGGAAAATGTAATTGATGAAACAAGAATTTGCCAGCACAAAGATACACTCTTTCAAGCCTGATAATCATTTCAATACTGAAATAACTAGCCGCGGTTTATAATTTTTGCTTTTTATTCCTTAGTTCAAAATCTGTAAGGTACAGAAATGGGGTGATTAATTTTTGGCACCATTTAGCATCCGCCTCTCCAGTGCTGAGTCGGCGTTACCTGTCACGCTGTTATGACCCAGAGGTAATTGCACAGGAAGCCCCTTCCCCGGCTCCTGTTCTGGCAGATGAGTCAGGAGGAAAGGTCTGCGCCCACACCCCGCCCCCAGAAACACCCGGCTTCTCCCGAGGGTCACCATTATAGTCTTCCTTTATTAGCTGTCCTTGTATAATACAAATCTGCAAGTTTAGATACAAAAAAAATCTGGAAATAAAAGATACAAAAGTACCCGCCCGGCACCCCTCCCCTTTCTGCCCGGACCCCCACCCTCCAAGCGGGTGCGGACGTGAGGTAACTGAGCATCTTCTTCCCCTTCCCCCTACCCCGCTTCCTGGGTCCCCAACTTGGCCCCTGCCCCCAGAAAGATGTGGGTGGCGGGTCAGAGGGGTGGGCACAGCACTGGCAGTGAACGCAGCAGGTGGGCAGAGGGAGGCCCTTTGCTTGTGCTGTGTATGGGGGGCGATGACCAGACATGGGGTGGACACTCATGTGGGGCCCAGGGGAGCCCCTAAGCGGGCATTCCTCCTCCATCCTACCGAACACTGGAAGGTGGAAGGTCGAGAACAGAAACTGGGAAATGTGACTTGAACTGAGGGCATTCAGTGGGATTGTGGCCATCCCTGTGTTCGGAGCGGGGGAGGCGGCATTGCCAGGTTAAGTCTGGCAGTGAAATAAGTCCCTTAGCCAGGCTGGGTCCGTCCCTGAATTCCATCCTGTCGCAACCTGGGCGTCCCAATGTTGGTTCTGTAGTGGTTGTGGGGTGGTAGAGAGAAGTGGTTAGAGAGGGTGTTGGGGGGTGCAGCCCCAGGGAGCAGGACCAGGGGAGGGGTCATGCCTCCACTCCCAGGTGTGGGGCACCCAGAGATGATGGGGTGGGCAGGGGCAGCTCGGGCTACAGTTCAATCTCGAAGGTCTTCTGCAGGTCACCAGAGAAGGGGTTAGAAGGCTTCTCTGTGGCGGATTTGCCTTCTAATGCTGCCCACTGGGCCTCGAACGGGTCCAGCTCAGGGGCCGAGGCGTGTTCTGGCTCAGGGGGCCAGGGGGCCCCATTGGGGCGTGGGTGGGCCTGACCCCCAGTGGCACTGGGCGCAGCAGGGGGTGGGAAGGCCCCAGCTTTCCCAAGCAGGGTGGCAGGCTGGGGCTGGAGCTGGGCGGCTGAGCAGAAGGCATTGGCCACCATCTGTGAGGGTGTGATACCTACCACGGGCACCCGGGACATGGGTGGGTAGCCCAAGCCTGGGTAGGCGGGCACATAGGAGGGCTGCATATGTGGGGGTGGCAGGAACACAGCCACCTGGGCAGGTGCTGCGTCGAAGGGCCCCATGGGGGCAGGGAAGGGCTGCAGGGTGGGGAGTAGGGTGGGCACGGGGGGCGCCGAGGCCCCTTGCTGCTGCTGCTGTTGCTGCTGCTGCTGCTGCTGGGCCTTGGCCACCTGGGACACTTCCTCTAGCCACCGCTCAGCCTCCGAAGGTGTCCGCTTATGCCCGGGCTGGAAGGTAGCTGCAGGGGGCACGGAGGGCTCACCCCAGGCAGAAGTCCCTGGAGAAAGGACAGGGGCAAGTGAGGGGCATGGGTGGTAGCTGGGACTCAGGATGACAGCACAGACTCGGAAGCAGACTGGCTGCCTCTGAGGAGCTCTGCTCCTTGTGAGCTGCACTGAGTGGGCAGTGGCTGCCCTGACCGTTCTGGACCACATAATGGTTCCGTGGTGCTAACAACACATGGTTCTGAGGTTCTGAGGCCTTAACGTGGAAAAGCCTAAGCAGGACTGGCGCTCAGCCAGCGTGGCCTCCAGTCTGATTGGTCGGTGCTGAGCCTGTGATTAAATATTCCGAACATCCTCCTTGGTTCCAGTATTTTGAGAATGTATGGTTTTAGGAGACCGCATGGATTGTTCTCAGAGTGTACTATTCTAACGTAGGGAGCTTCAAGGTTTTCGGTTTGTCTTTTCTGAGAGTCTAGAATTCTAAATGTACATTGTTGGAGATTCTAAGGGGCTCCCGGGGTCTGAGGATGAGCCTAGAATACAGTGTGTGTTTCTCAGACAACACTCTTCAAAAGCTGTGAGATTCTAAGATTC